TCGTTCCAATATGCGTTTTTGCTGCCTGTTGCAGCGCTCTAGCGCTGCACAGCAAAAACGCATAACTAGCCAATCTAGAATGTGTAAATGCGACCCGCTACCAGGTACAGGTGAGGGGATGCTACCTGTAATCTGATGTTTTCGTGGCAACTGCGAATGATCAGGGATTACCTTTCGATGCTGCATCACCTCAAGGCCATATTTTTCAAAGGGTTATATTTTACGGCGCACTTTAGGGTAGTAACGATCGAGGAACACCACGAGCAACTCAACAACTTCGCCAATGAGGGCACGCCATTCTGTGTAAGCTTTGACTTTGTCCATAAGTTTACAATAACTTTCATCATTCTGTCCTTCTCTTGTGCCTAACAAAATCGTTTTACCATCTTTCTAGCTTGCATGTGTTAGTCAATTTGTCATATTTTGTATATGCTGATGGAGTAGTCACGAAGATAAAAATCGAGGACTTAACTTCGCCTCTGCTACGACCAGCCTCTACTGTTCGTTCATTCATTTCGATTGACAAGGCCGACAGCGGTAAAAATTGCGCATACTGAGCATTACCCGTAAGCGGTCTTCGAAGAGATGACGCAGTAATAATTGCGCCTTTGCAGCCCAGAGCCCGAAGAACCTGCCATAGCTGCACTGAGGTACGGGAGTATCCCAGCGGGCACCGTTTCGAATTGATATAGGATATTAGCATTATCTGTGCGGGCGGTCTTGCTGTTTTTGGCAGTCTTAGTAACCAAAGGATAATGACCACTATTACCTTGCTTACAAGCAACATTTTTTGAAAGGAAGCCACCAACAGTTGTTGCCGAAGATTCTTGAAAAGCTGACAGTTGTTGAAAGGGTGTATTGCACAGGATACAGCAGCCAAACGATACAGAATATGTATGGGGGTTTCATACATACAGCAAACTGTATGAAACACAAGGGCCGGTAGTGTAGTTGGCAGCTTGTCGTATTCGGATGTGAAAGGGAGCGGTTTGATTTTCCCCGGTCCATGGCCCTCTCCGAAAAGCGAATCCGTCCACGACAGCAATCTTGCTAGCGATGCTTGCATGTGCTACTACACGGGCTGCTTTTCAATGAGAGTTAAATTTGACTGATAATCGTGTTTGCAGAAGTGCAAAAGTTTTTTTAGCAGAAACTAAAAAAGTATTTTACAGAAAAAAAGGTAGTGCGTAAGTGCAAGCAGTAAAGACATTGACAGGAGTGCAAATGTGCGCTGAACATCTCGAAGCACAAACCTTGTGCAAATGCTAGAAAGCTGGCTGTGCTTCCAAAAAATATCTAAAACAACAGAACAATAGATGGGAAATCATAAATCAAGGAAAAGCGGTGTGATAAAGTGCAATCTTCTCACAATTTACGATGACCAGTACACTGAGTCCAGTCGCACCATTCAGCCCACATACCGCATGGTCTAAAATGACATGGTCTTTCCTGACTTGTATCCCCGTGACAATCATCACCGTTGCATGTTCGTCGCCTTGTCTGTACACCATCACCACATGTTACTGGACAGATTGACCAGGTCGTCCATTGGCTCCATCCTGAAACACGTATTCCATTTTTCTCATTCCCAAATGTCTGTAAATTTCCGAATTTATTTTGTGCATGTGACTCAACTTCAGCAAACTTCACATATCTTTAGGCTTCTCGACTTTTTTAAGTCACACCAGTAAGTAGGCAGCTTAAGTAGAGGAGTACCAGCAAATGGCAGTTTCATCTGCACATTAGAATTCAGATAAACGTGATGATTAGTTTAAAGTTTTTGGGACAGTAAGTGCCACAAAATCACATGGTATTAAAATTTCAACTTCCAGCTCTCGTAATTCTGGGGTTGGCTTGTTACACTAGGCTCACATTAACATACGTACAAACACACACATAGGATTTTTATAGAGTTTCATGAAACAAAAACGAACTAAAATGATGGCGTATGAAAGAAATGCGTAACTGTGAAATTATTAGAGCGTCTGATCATCGGTCACTACATATCTTAAGTCCTTACATACTAATTCAGCAGCTCGCTTTCATAAAACTGTTATTTTCTCATAACCTTTTTCCAAAAATGTTGACATTCGACTACTTGATTTTGGGACAATGCTGTCTGAAATGGCGTTTGCGAAAAGTCGAACGCCGAATTTGTTGAAGTGAACTTTTAGAAAAAAATACCTGGTGCCCCAAAAATATCGCCCCCGATCACATATGTCGGCTGTACAGAAACAGGCTCCCAGCCAACACCATAGACTGGGGTGCTGGGTACAGCAACGTCCACTCCGAAATCCAGTGGACACTCTGCCAAGGGTAACGGTAATCCATCAGCTCCCACACAGCCTGCTAATCGCTGCCTTTCCTGCTCCTGACGTTGTCTTTCCAGTTCTTGACGTTGCCTTTCCTGTTCCTGACGCTGCCTTTCCTCTTCTTGACGCTGCCATTCCTGCTCTTGTTGCTGACGATAGTATTCTTCTGGTGAGATCTCAGTCGGTGGTTCCGGATACTGTTTCTCAAGTTCCTCACGTTGCCTTTCCTGCTCCTGACGTTGCCTTTCTTCTTCCTGACGCTGTCTTTCCTGTTGTTGGCGATAAAATTCTTCCGGCGAGATCGCGGTAGGTAATTGCTCCAGACGCTGCCTTTCTAATTCCTGACGTTGTCTTTCTTGCTCCTGGCGTTGCCTTTCCTGCTCCTGTTGCTGACGATAATATTCTTCTGGTGAAACCTCGGCAGGTGGTTGTTCCAGACGTTGTCTTTCCTGCTCCTGACGCTGTCTTTCCAATTCTTGACGCCGCCATTCCTGCTCCTGCTGTTGGCGATAATATTCTTCCGGCGAAATCTCTGTCGGTGGTTGTTCCGTATGCTGTTTTTCTATTTCCCCACGCTGTTTTTCGAGTTCCTGACGCTGTCTTTCCAATTCTTGACGCCGCCATTCCTGCTCCTGCTGTTGGCGATAATATTCTTCCGGCGAAATCTCTGTCGGTGGTTGTTCCGTATGCTGTTTTTCTATTTCCCCACGCTGTTTTTCGAGTTCCTGACGCTGCCATTCTTGCTCCTGTTGTCGACGGTAATATTCCTCTGGTGAAACAGCTGTTGGAGGTTGTTCTGAATGCTGCTGTTCAAGTTCCTCATGTTGCCTTTCTAGCTCCTGACGTTGCCTTTCCTCTTCCTGACGTCGTCTTTCCTCTTCCTGACGTTGCTTTTCCTCTTCTTGACCCTCCCACTGCTGCTTCTGTTGCTGACGATAATACTCCTCCGGTGAGACTTCGGTAGGCGGTTGTTCCTGTCGTTGCTTTTCTAGTACCTCACGTTGTTTTTCCCATTCCTGCAGCTGACGATAATAGTCTTCCGGCAAAACCGCTGTTGGTGGTTGTTCCGGATGCTGCTTTTCCAGGCCCTCAGCCTGGCCTTCTAGTTCCTGACGTTGTCTCTCCTCTCCGTGACGCTGCCAATCCTGCTCCTGTTGCTGACGATAGTATTCTTCTGGTGAAACTTCGGTGGATGGTTGTTCCGGAATCTGCTTTTCCAATTCGTCACGTTGTCTTTCTACTTCCTGAAGTTGCCTTTCCTCTTCCTGACGTTTTCTTTCCTGCTCCTGCTGCTGGTGATAATATTCTTCCGGTGAAACCTCAGTGGGTTGCTGTTCTTGTCTTTGTCTTCCTTGTTCCTGTAGCTGATGATGGTACCCTTTCGGTGTAATTTCGGTGGGTTCTTGACGCTGCTCTTCTTGTCCTTCACGTTGTCTCTCCAGTTCCTGACGTTGCCTTTCTTGCTCCTGCAATTGACGATAGTATTCTTCCGATGTCGTCTGGGTAGGTTGTTGTTCCTGACGCTGTTTTTCTTCCAGTTCTTGACGTCTCCTCTCTTGTTCCTCTAGCTGACGATGGTATTCATCCTGTGTAATCTCGGTGGGATGCTGTTCCTGACGTTGCCTTTCCACTTCCTGCTGCTGATGATAATATTCATCTGGTGAAATCTGATCCTCTCTTTCGTGTCCTTCATGCTGTTTTTCCAATTCCAACCGCTGTCTTTCCTCTTCCTGACGTTGCCTTTCGTGTTCTTGCTGCTGACGATAATATTCCTCTGGTAGAATTTCGGTGGGCTGCCACTGCTCTAGATGCTGTTGTTCCAATTCCTGACGCTGTTTCTCGTGTTCTTGATGTTGCCTCTTTTGTTCTTGTTGCTGGCGATGGTACTCTTCCGGATCGGTATTAGTGGGATGTTGTTCTTGAAGCTGCTTTTCCCGCTCCTGACGCTGCCTTTCCACTTCCTGACGATAGTGCTCCTCTGGTGAGATCTCGGCTGGTTGTTGTCTCTCCTGTTGTCCTTCCCGACTTTCCTGGCGAGGGTATTCGTCTGGCGTGATTCCAGCATGTTGCTCCTGTTGATAATAGTGCTCATCCAGAGATGAGGTTGGCACATGTTGATCAGTAGCTTCAGTGGGCAACAGATGCGGCTGCTCAGTATGGTACTCGCTAGGCAGCGTATAAAGGTCCGCTGTTGATGCTGGCCAGTGCTGTTCTGGAGACATTGCGGAAACCTGACCATAAGGATAAGCTTTTTGGCTTGGTTCAGGATGCTCTTCATAAGCTTCTTGACTTGGTTCAGGATGCTCTTCACCATGTGATATGGAGCTCTCTGCATCTAGCTCTGTGGGTTGATAGGGATATTCTGTGGCACTGAGCTGTTCCACATTGTCCGGAACAGCCGGTGGTGGCCCGTGCGATTCGTAATCGTATGTATAATCTGTTCGATCGAATTCATCCTCATGCCTCGCTGTTTGTGTTTGTTGTTCTGCTTCATGCTGCGGGTAGCCAGCATTTTCAGGTAATACATGTTCTTCCCAGTTGGGTTGATGAGGGTAGAATTCTTCCGGATGATGCTCCTGGTTGCTATATTCAGTGATGCTCGCTTCACCGACATATTGTGGTTGTTGTGCGTCGTGCTCATGCTGTTGCCCATAAGATTGTTCCGGTGAAGTTCCGGTTTGCTGTTGCTGTTCAGCAGCTGACAAAATGTAGCTTCTCGTTTGGTCATGGATTTCGTGTGACTGTGTGTGATGTTTGCGGTAATATTCTTCCTCGTAGGTTCGTACGTGTTCGTCGATTGTCATACGATCCACAGGTTCCCGATGGCCATTTCCAGCTTCTGCTTGGTGCGGCGTTTCGGCGTCCCAGTGCGCATGCTGAAGGGACTCTTCGCCCTGGCCTGGTAACTGAGCCACTCGTCCGTGACATCTAGGATCATCGGACTGAATATCACAGCCATCTGCAGGCAGGCCGTCAGGCACAGGGATTATGTGTTCTGGCTCTCCGACTCTGTATTCGCTTGCTGGCCCGAAATGTTTGTTTCCTAATACAGATGGATCATCTGGAAAGGCGTACTGATCTTCCTCTCCATAAAGTCTACTGAACTGCAGCTGTGGCGCTGTCTGGAGTTGTTCTAGTTCTGACTTAGCCTCGAATGAATTTTCTGGCACTGGACATGGATGCCGACAGAATGTAATGTGGCTTTTACCAACCTGAAAATATGAATTTTATAAGGCTTTGGTGTTTCATCTCCTTGGATCTTCTAAATCGGTCGCGCTGATGAAGTCCAGTTGTGATCCCCAATCAAGAAGTCTACAACTTCATGGACCAAAATGTCTACCTCGTTTTTTTTAAGGCTCTTAGCCCCATCAGCTCTTTTGTCTTCATTTTCTCCAGTCCACTTCGGCTGTCCCACAACACCTTGCATGCATGTAAGTACGACCCGGTACCTTACCAGCTAGAAGCCATCTCATAGCATTTCACTGATTGCGAAAAGTAGAGTAACTATTCGCTAGTACAACTATTGATTTTGAAACTTTAAAAGATTAAACAATAAAAAAGTTTCCAAGGAGCTAAAAATTCTGAAAATTAGAAACTGGATGGCTTTTATAATTTCTGCACTTTTTTGAAATATCAGTTGTTTCAAATTTGTAT